GTGCTCATCATCACTTAGGGCACCTGAGCCCGCAACAGTCGACTACCGCTCCACTGCCAGCGTCGGCTCTTCTACGGCAATTGTACGCCAACAGGGAGAGCGTGATACGGGCTAACGTTCACGGGATCACGTCCAGCAGTAGTACAAGAACCTCTTCTTCCGGTGGGACGTATTACGCCGGGGACACGACACCCAGCGGCCCTCTGCCCACCCCGCCTGGCTCCGAAGGATCCAGCACTTACGGCGAACATCAGTTCGTACTAGCAACGCACAATCAGAAGAGCTCCACTGGAACAAGTTGCGCCGATGCGTTCACGAGTCTGGTTTCCTCGTACTCGACCGGCAGCGGTTACACAGTCGATTATCACTCGGCCATGACACCGCCGTCGTCCGTTTCACCGCGAGACAAGCAACAACAACAGCAGCAGCAGCAGCAACAGCTGCATCCGGTGAACGTAATCAGCAGCTACGAAGGCTCGTCGGCATACACCGACCCGGTGTTGCGACACCAATACGAGCCAGCGCAACCATTGCCTTTGAAGCCACAAGTGTACTCGGCTGCCGTTCATCCGAGCGCGTTGGACGCTGCTGCGGCGTACGCCACGGCTGGTTTAACCGAGCAAGCGCAATTTTACCATCACCCAGCCGCCGGCGCTGGCTTCCACATTTACCATCCGACGAACAAGTCGACGACGAACGGTTGGTACAGTTCGACGTCCTAGTGGCATGCGCCAGTAGTACGCAAGAGTGTACTTAAGTAACTGAAATTACTGAGCCCAAAGTCCCCCTCCCCCCACACACATGCATATCAGTGATATCATATTCATCTCTGTACACCGATTTCCCTCTCTTGTTTCCCGTACATTCCCATTCGTTCACTTTCCTTCTTTCTGTTTTCTCCCGGTTTTTTTTTCTTTTTTTTTTTTTTTTTTTTTTTTCCGTTTGGTTTGGTTTGTTTTGTTTTTCGCTTCCCTGAGAAGCTAGCATTCATTCTTCGCCTCTTCCCCCTCATCCAGCGATCATACGCGCGCATCCAATGTGCCAACTGAACTGTAAAAAAATCGCTGCTCTCTATTCTTGACTATGTAGAATGACTTATTGTAATATAACACAGAAATAAATTATTATGTATGTTGACATTTTCGGAGATATTCGCGAAAGCAAAACGGAGGATGGAAGTTTCTAAAAAGAGAGAGAGAGAGAGAGAGAGAGAGAGAGAG